GGAACATGAATCAAATATGCACTTTTATTCATTTACAATAAACTCATAAAGTACATCATTCTGATTGAAGCTAAGGGCATACAAAACTGTCCAACACGCTATATATAAATAACGATACCACTTCCAATTATTCTTAAAATGTCATACAACTTGAACTAAATTAGCCAACTTAATAGAAAATTTGTTTCTTAAACCTAAAACTCCACAAACTAAAAATTAGATTTTTCTCAACTTTTCCAAAAAGACAATTCATGAAAATGTCATAATAAAAAAGGATATTCAACATATCTGGAACTCATAAAATATCTTAAACTAGGATTTGGAGCTTTCTTTATCAATGATAATAACCAACTATACAACTCTCTAAGGAGTTTATTATAATTATGCTAATAGCTGAGTATGCCTATTATAACCGTTTACAAGTAAAGTTATTGCTTTAATATCAAATTATACGTTTAAATAGAGATTCTTGAATTATTTGCTAATGATAAAAAGCAAAGAAGAGTAAAAAGATGAAAAAAAGAGAAAGAAAGTTGGTAATGAAAAGAAAGAATAAAATGAAATGGAAAAATTACTAGGCCAATTGACCATATCAATATACTTTATAGTAATGAACATCAATGAAACTTTTGATTAATAAATTAACTAAATACCCCTACAAACAACAAAAGATTTCAATAAATGTGTTCATTACAAATACAATTAGCAACTAAATAAATTAGTTCTTAATATTTAAAATAATCCTATGAATAAGTAGATAGACATTAGACATGTGAAAATCCACCATAAGAACTTACTTCTCTTAAAAGCTTGCCTTGCAATGCCCATGCGACCATATAGAATAGTCCATGTAGGGTAAAGAGAACCATTGTAAGATGTCCCAACCATACATGATATCTAGTAGCTTGCTCAAAAGGAATATCAACAAGACGAAGAAGAATTGACCCTCTTGATATGGGTAGAAATAAAAATACCATGCAAAATAATCCAATAGTTCCCAACCGTAGTCCAGATAGTTCTAACATAAAATAGCTATAAAAGAGAAGTATTCAAAGTATTAATAAAAGAACATAAATAAATTAAATAGTAGAGGAAAGGAACAAGCTATAAAATATACTCCTCAAATGATAAGAGCTAAATTTCATATACATGCAACTCATTTTACTCTATGGATAAAATAGTGATCATTTAAAATAATGTACATTAGAAATAGTAAGAATAACAATAACAACAAAAAATAATAATAATGATGATAGAAACAATAATAGTAATTATAATTCCTAGCAACAAATAAGTATAGCACAATAAAAGATGGCATATATTATCTCGTTCCAATTGTTTATTGGTAGTGATGTAAAAATTATTACACTTCTCACTAAGACTAAATTCCATTTTTCATAAGTACTAAATGGAATATGCTATCACCTTGATGATTGAAACCATTAATTTGATGTTAGTTGTTTTAAATTAAGGCCCCATTCACTTTTTGGTAAGTGTATTTATCCATGTTCTTTTATTTCCCAAGTAAAAAAGGAAATGACCATTTTAACCATAAAAATTCATTATTAAAAATGGAATTTTTGTCCCTTTCAAGTGTTGAAAACTCCCCCACCCCCCAAGTGGGAAAGTTATTTACCCACCTAGAAGGTGGGTACCACTTACCCAGTAAGTGATACCTAGGAAAATAAACTTTCCCTAGTCCCCACATTAATCTAAAAAAGAACATGGGGTTCTTAGTCAATAGGAACCAAAATCCCATTGACCTACTTTCACCCCTCTCAAAATCCAAAAAAAAAAACACCACTTAAATGTGACTTCTATTTCTTTTTATGCTAAACACTCAATCTTGATTACCACATTATCTAGAACTTATAAGGCATTAAAAGCTTTACCTAAAGGTATATAGGAAATCAAATGGGATCTATTTGTTTTCTTTCTTTTTGGAGAAATAAATAATACAAATTTATAAACATTTTCTAGTCAGAATTGCCCTGTTAAACTTTCATTTGCAACAAAGATCCCTTAAACTTTCACTTGGTGACAAATACCCTCTAGCCGTTAAGTTATATGACAATGCATTATATTACCAAAATACCCACCTAAAGATTTATTATTTTCTTTTCCTCACCATTTTATATTAAACCATAATTTACCCAAAAATACCCCTATTTTATCCAAATAAAACTAACTCAAATAACACAAATTATTTCCTTGACATAGAAAAACAAATATCTTTAAATTATGGTTTCATTTCACTAAAATGGATGTCTCTCCTCATCTTAAAATAAGGACTTCACTATTATATTTATAAAGTCAATCAAATCGTAAATCATTAAAAATAAATAAGAAAATGGTAGTTTTGGGATTTAAAAAATTTTTAAATAGCTAAATGAGAATCTTGTTCAAAACTAATTAATGGAATTAAAATAAAATGGTGTATTTGTTAAATAGGCTATGCCCTTAGCTCTAATTAGATTGATGTACACAGGCATTTATGAGTAATATAAGTACATTATTTTTTCATGATCATAATTGGTGTGTTTCTATAAATTACTCCTTAAACTAAACACTTATGAGACTTATGTTAATTTGGAATGTCTTAGCCATTGGATAGACTTTGGGAGTTTATTTAGACAAGGCTAACATTGATGTGATATCGAATTGGTGGAGTAGTTTGTCTTAGCTGCTAACAATGTTTTTGAACTATTAATGACCTTATTGGTAGGACCCTTAGGCCTGGGAACTGTCCAGGGAACCAGTTCTGTTTTACCCTAAACCTGGGAACACGTAAAAAATTGTTGATTGATCAATGACCCATTGACCCAGATGGTCGAACTGTCAACCCATTGACCCGGATGATTGAACCATTGACCTAAAAACCGGTGGCTAGAACAATTCCAGTTCTGGGTCAATTTTTAAAACATTAACTACTAAGTTTAAACCCTAAGCATAGTTAGCGGGTGTTTGGAAGAAACACTGGACCTGAACCAATTTTCAGTTATGCCATGGACCTTGGATACTCAAAGAAGCCAAAGGAGAATCTCATGAAACATGAATAGATTCATGATCCTTTATAGAAAGTGATGGGGTTAAGCAGTTGAAACAATTGATCTCATGCATCTATGTGATTCCCCACATTTCTAGAGAGACAAATAATGTTTCCATTCCTAAGATAGAGGGAAACCTCAAAGATGAACAAATGAAATAAAATGTAGATAAAAGTTCATTCTAGGGTATCCAACGTAAAACAATAATTAGGTCGTGGACTATTAATTATTCATGCAATTTATCAAAAATGGCACACAAACCATTTGCTAAGATACCAGATGACAATAAACTCAAATGATCCCATTACATGAACTGGATACACAACCTTAACCTAGTACTCACATTCAAAAAATTAAATAAATTTACCCACTAGAAGACACCAAAACATCCTAGTGAAAGATCTTCTAAGGCTAAAAGAAAGGAATATTAGGAATGAGAGGAAAAGAACTCTCTTACCCATTGTTACATCATTATCTTATTGGACAACTCAATCTAGAGACAATTTGATAAAATAACATTTTGTAAGGAAATTTTGGATAGTTTAAAGACCATGTATGAAGAGTAGAATCGTTCTGCATGACAAAAGGTCCCGAATTGTTAATGACCACAAGGATGTTTGAGAACCAACTAGTTTTGACCATGTCATGAAAATGATAGGGTTAATAACTGAACTAGAGTCTCTTGGATTCAAATTAGATGATAAAACAAAGACTAATGTCATCCTGAACTCCTTACCCACACATCCTTCAATCACTTTGTCCTCAACTACAATATAAACAACTTAAAAGATAACTTGCAAGAGCTTGACAATATGTTGCAACAAGTTGAGGAACTAATTAAAAATGATAAGTGTTGAAGGAGGCAAACCTATAAAAAATAATAAAAAATAAAACGTAAGGGTAAGAAAGGACCTAAGAAGAAGGATGGCGAACCAAAGAAGCAAAAAGAGAGACAAGTTGTCAAATGAGCGTTACTTCTACAAGTAGACCAGATACTAGAAGAACTATTTTCAATATCTAGAATCCCTCAAGAATAAAGAAGATAATTTTGAAACACAAGTCATCGAGACCAATTAAAATCTAAAACACAACTCAAAAGGACAAGTACTGACAAATTGGAATCCAAAACCAGTCATTGCCTATTTATAGGCTACCATAAGGACTTCATTGGTTATTTCTTTGACAACCTAAGTAAACAAAGAGTATTTGTTGTTCGAAATGCCCACTTCTTAAAAGTGGACTACATCTTTAGAAATCATCATCAAGAGATTATTCTTGATGAAGAGGGCTTAGGGTAGTAAAAGATAACCCACAAGTTCCTTTCGATTATGATCAGGGATAGAAGTCTACTCGGGTGTTTAGACCTCTTCATTCCATTTATGATCAAGAAAGTTAATGGAAACCATGGACATTGAGGAAGATCCCCTAAATTATATTGAAACTTTGTTAGACATAGACTTCTTGAAGTGAATAGATGTCATGAAAGTCGATATGGACTCAATGAACACCAATGAAGTCTGGACTCTTGTAAATTTGCCCCTATAGTAAAAGGAATTGGTTATAAGTGGATTTATAAGAAGAAGAAGGGCCTGATAAAAAGGTTGAGACCTACAAAGATCAACTCGTAATGCAGCAACTAAAAGGCTTTGTTGTCAAAGGTCAAGAGCACATGGTGTGCAAGCTCAATAGATCCATATATTAATTAAAGCAAGCTTCAAGAAGCTAGAACATTCAGTTTGACTCAACGGTCAAACAATTTGATTTTTAACAGAATCCAAATAAACCCTATATTTATATATAAAAAAGACTGTGGGAAACAATATTGCATTCTATGTACTATATGTAAATAACATTCTACTCATTGGAAATGATGCAGGATTGTTAATAATAATAAGTATGATTTTCATAACAATTCTCCATGAAAGATCTTAAAGCAATCAATTGCATTGTTCCAATCTACTTACGTTGACAAGATAGTCAAGAGATTCAACATACAAGATTCATTCATTTTGAACATGGAGTCGCTCTTTCTAAGGGAATGTCACCAAAGACTCTTGAGAAAATAGAGGATATGATAATGGTTCCCTTGAGAAAATAGGGAGCATCATGTACGCTATTTGTAAACTTGACCTAACATAGCTTAGGAAGTTAATGTAGTAAGTAGATATCAATCCAATCTAGGATAAGAGCACTAGACAACTGTGAAAAACATACTAAAATACCTAAAAAAAACTAAAGACTATCGTCTTGTCTTTGATGGTGGTTTGTTGCAAATGATCGACGACATTTGGATATATCTTTATATTGGGATCTTATGTTGTCAATTGGAGAAGTAGCAAACAAGGGTCCTTAGTAAACTCCAAAGTCGATGCTAAGTACATTATCGGAAGTGAGGCTACCAAGGAAGTGGTTTGGATGAAAAAACTCATCCAATAAATAGGCGTAGTACCATCCAACACATCTCCCATTCCACTATTGTGTGACAATAATTAAAGCTCAAACCAAACCATTACTCAAACCAAAGAGTCGAGATTCCACATGAAGTTAAAGCTCATTGAAAGGGAATAACACATTCTATAAGAAATTGTTGATAATATTTAGATTTAGAAGGTAGCATCAACAAAAAAGAGGTAAACCCATTGACTCAACCACTGACATAGTAAGTGTTTAAGAAACATGTGGACAATATGGAATTTAGGCTTATGTCTGATTGGACCTAAGTGCAAGTAGGAGCTATTAATGGTATATGCCCTTAACTTCAATCAAATTTATGTACATAGTCATTTCGGTATGATTAATATAAGTACATTGTTGTTTTACTTTCAATTGGTGTATTTCTATGAACTATTCCTTAAATTTGACACTTATGAGACTTGTGTTAGTTTAAAATATTATCGGCCATTGGATAAACTTGGGAAGTTTATCATAACAGGGTTGACACTAATGTGTTGCCGAATTAGTGGAGCAATTTATCTCAGTTGCTAGGGTTTGACTCCAAGCACAGCCAATGGGTGTTAGAAAAAACACTAAACATGGACTAATTTCTAGTTATGCCCTAGACTTTGGAAACAGATGGACAAAATTAAAAAGTTGCATTTAACCTTAAATTTAATTATGATACTACACTAGGTCTTAGACTGAACTGTTTTTTATGTGCCAACCAATGAGATCTATTAAGGGTCAAATAACTGGACATTTTGAAGCATTTTGGGAACTTACCTGAGTGGGCGATTATAGTAATAGGATCATCACCTTTGTTAGACAAAATAAATATCAAGGTTTACACTTTCTTTGGAGGAAACCTAAACTGTCAATAATAGGACTTCAATGATATTTGGAATCTAATTTGCAAAAAATGTATTTATATATTATATTATTATTTTATGAAAAATGTTTGCAAAAGATTTAATCCCAAGATCCATCTGAGCCAAGAGTATGACACTGCATTTTGCAATCAAGGAAGAGGTCATTCCTTGTGAATAATGTTAATGGGCCAAGAGATTACGTGCGAGAGACCATTATAGGGTTGATTATTTGATGGGCTTCATCTTGCGTAAGTCTATTATCCTTGGGTCTTCATAGGGTGATTGAAACCAAGGATTATTTATATTTAAATATTGGATCTAAACTAAGCTCAAGCCAATAGGGTTAGGGGTTCACTGCCCTTAGGCAATGAATTCAGCCTACCCCTTTCCAGGGGTGAGGCCGAACCCTTATGGACTTATGTGTAACCTTTGTGGGTCATATGCCACACAATATTCAGGCTTAAAGTGACCATGCAATGCCTTGGATGTGAACCATTGAAGGAAATGGACCTTAGGCCTATTATTAATACGATTAATTTAAGTTTTTGTCATGTGACATGGATCGAATATGGGCATAAATATGGATATGAAGAACCCATTTCTTTTAAAGAAGATAAGGCTTATCTAAACATGGATAAGTCTTGGTCCAAATATAATTTGGATAAACTCCTAAAATGATTAGGAGAGTGTGTTCTATGTAAGGGACGAGACAAAGGGGCAAACCTTTCAATTCTTCCCACTCTCTTGCACTCTCTCTTTTCCCTTTGCACTCCAAAACCCTTCACTAAACCAACCACTGTAACGACTGATTCTATTCAGTCCTTGTCTGAGTTCTTAGAAAAAAATATTAGTCATATCAAGGTTCACACATAGTTGTATCGATCCAAGGAGTTTGGAGTTTGGTTTTGCTGAATTGATTTCAGAGGCATTATTGTGTCATCTTTGATAGAAAGCCGATCTAAGTCTGATATAGGGTGTGAACTACCACTCTGGGAGTTGTTTTTGTGGATTTCATATCAAGTACTATCAGAATTTAATTTGGGTTTCAAATCTGGTCCAATTTAGTGCAAAATCAATATAAAAATTTAGATTTCAAATTACCAAGAAATTGGTTCCCAGGTTGGGTTAGGATTTTTTTTTTTTTATAATTCACTCAGCCACCAAATCTGGTTCAGCCATGTTAAATTTGATTTCTAACCTATCCAACGTAAATTTTAACAAAGATTTCAAACTAAAGGAACTAGTGGGATTGATGATTTTATTAGTGGTATTTATTGTTGCATTTCTATTGAATTGAGCATGTTTATAAATAAGGATGCCATAGATGAATAAATCTTTGGTGCTCTTTAATCAATAAAAGACATCAAAGCTCCTAGGCCTATGGATTAAATGCTTTATTCTATAAAAATATCAGGAATATTATTAATGGTACTGTGCTCACTTTGGGAAATTGTGCTCAATTCTAAACTAAATTTTTATTGTTCTCATTCCAAAAATATAAAAACCTTGAAACTATGAATGATAACATTATAGAGTGCCTTTGTTTCTAATAGGCAAATAAATGATAACATTCTTATAGCCATTGAGATAATCTATACCATAAAAGGAAAAAAGGGAGCTCTAGCATATTGGCCTGCAAGATTGACATGGAGAAAGCCTATGATAGGTTAGAATGGTATTTCCTTGAGAAAGTCCTTATGAAATTTGGTTTTCATAAGAAATGGATTGGGTGGGTTATGGAATGCATTAAATTTGTCTCTTACCAAATTTTCATAAATGGTATACAATCTAAGGAATTTAACCCCTCTAAAGGGATCAAACATGGTGATCCTCTTTCGCCGTGCATTTTCATGTTATGTGCTAAAGCTCTTGTGGAAAAACTTGAGTTGGAATTTTTAGAGCATGGTGACCCAATTGGTTGTAAAGTGTAGAAGGATTGTCCTAAGATTCCTATCTTACAATTGGTTGTAAACTGTTCGGATCAGTGGTTTCTTGACCAAATCAAAGTTTTTTTGGCAAAAATCCGGCTTTGGGGAAAAAGGATCGGTTCCCGGTTTTTCCAATCCGACCATCCAGTCCGGTTTGGTTTTGAAAACCATGGCTCCATGTTGGAATTATTTATTGGTTGGATTTATAAGATATAAGAGTTTGTCAAGGATGAAAAATAGACCTGTACGAAAATAATAAAAAAGGTGCCATATTTATCTGTAAATCTTTTAAAGAGTAAGCGTGAAATAGATGCAGCAAAGAAATTGATCCCATAATCAGATTGAAGCAAACCTATCAATAAGATCGTGTGTAGTTTGCTAGAAAATTAGAAACAGAATGTTGAAGAAATTTCTTTACTTTCCCTCAACTTTTTATTTGTCCCTTATTTTCTACCAAACCAAACATAGCCGAAGAAAAAGAGAAGAGAATAGAAGTACCTACCCAGGAATTTTCGTATCCTGTAAATAACATTCAAAGGCTGCTAAATCTACATTTAATGTACTAAAGCTATTAGAACGATCATGGAAAGCAGATGCAGGAGATGCTAAAGAATTAGAGACCTGACCAGAAGCTGAATAGTAGAAGATTTTAAGAAATTAAAGCAATTAGAACATAAATTCACATCCTGTACCATACCTCTTCTCTTTAGAAGGAATCTCGAACTTAGATAACAAGTTCAGATCCTGAAAAGTATAAGCACAAAGAGCCCATATAACATATGCAGTAAAGAGGAGTATTCCTATCAATTCAGCCGCAGAAACAACCCCAAATGGCCCTTCCACCAACACAGGAAATGTCGACAAGCGAAACCTTGGAAATTTTTTAGACCCCTTCTTCCTGCAGATACAGCAGAACGAATCAGAATCGTCTAATAAATTTAGAATTCTGACTAAGGATACATGAAGTGATAGTAGCAGTCAGAATAAGAATTAAAGGAACATACTCTCTGTAATCCTCTTCGCCAGCAGAGACAATTATATATGCGAAGGACAGAATTGCAATGATGAGAATTGGGCCACTGAACATCAGAAATATACTCCCTGCGTTTGGCAATGAGATGCAGAAAGTTGATTCACGACTGTCGATAGAAATTAGACTGAGTACAGGAGATAAAAATTTAACAGCTAACCTGAGATGCCAAAAACTGTTCCTTCTGTGGCCAGAATCCATTTCCGTTGGAGTTTCTGCATGAATTCAGCCGGATAGAGAAACATAATGGTAACCCAAGCAAGGAAAACAACCCACAATAGAACTTTGAGAGTCCTTTTGATCAGAAGTAGCAAGAAAGGTTTCTTCTTGACATTATCAGTTTCTAAAGCTCCAGTCGAAAGAAGAGGTTGATGAGCTGAAAGTTCATCCATGGGAAGAAGGAGAATTCAAGCCCCGTATCTCACCTTTCCTCACCCGCTTACAGTCTGCTTGCTGTTAATTCTCAGCAGCCAATTGTCCTTTAAATACTATCCGAGTAGAACAGATTTAATCCCCACAACCCATTTCTATTTGAACCACATATTAATTAACAACAGACATTTAAATTGTATCCAGTAACTAAGAAAATGTGGACCAGTAACCCATTATCGTTCTTGTATCCGAAAGTTTTTCTAGAGATATCTTGAATGAGAAAGTACTCAATGCTCAAGTCTCTGTCTGAGGTCCAAAGAAGAAGACAAAATATAAAGGGATGATCTCTATTATTTTGTCCTGGATATTAACTACTATTCAATATGTACCACAAGTGTCGAATTCTCGGAATCGGACTGAGTGGTACAAATGAATTGAACGTGAAGAAATTTATTTGACAGATTAATAGTTAATGGTAAGAATTAAAGTGATATGAATAATCTTTCCAATGAAAGCTAGTCGCATAGGAACCAGGAAAAGAAAGAAATGGAAAAAAAAAAAAGACAATTTGTAGTTTTTATATTTTTTTATTTATTTTTTGATAGACTAAAGGTCTCTATTATAAAGCCATAAAAGAGTTTGATACAGGAGGAAGTCGGTCAGGCCTACTACTAGGCCACATTGCTTGGCATGAAATTGAATATTCACACCATTATTTACATAACAAAAAGGTTGGACCCAATGGCCTATGGAGCATTGGACTATTTGTAGTCCTATGAGAATAATTACACATCAATGCAATATTTGTTCTATATGGACTACGAGTACGCACTATCAATACCCTTATTATGTATTGTTGTTTTCTTATAAAATAAACTCTGTTTTGATTTATATTATTTTAAACTTGGTCCATTAGAGCAATAATTGGTTGATAAAATGTCTGAAAAAGCAAGGACTCATCCCAAAAGAGGAATTGTCGTTTCTTTCTATCCATTAGAACAAATTAATTCGTAAATAGAATTCAAATTAACGAGGGAACACTCCAGCTACATAAAAACATGTTTCTCTCTCATCATATTACTCTTCTCTTATCTTGATTATTAATAATTTTAGTTGTGGTAGAACATTACCTTTACTTAGATTGTTGAAGAAATTTGGGCCTCGTGTTTAAATTTGACACGCGCTCTTAGGATACCACCAACATCATCAAGGTCTTTCAAAAATGAGACGGTAACATTGTCTTGTGGTGTAGATACATCGATTGCCAAGGGAGCATGAGATGAGAAGATTGCAGAGCCTGGACCACACATTGGGAGTCCGAACAGATGAGCAGACGATTCCAATGCAGGTCTTTACCCTTTATTAAGGCTCTGTAAATGGCCATTAGCTCTGTCTTTTCGACAAAACCAGAAGATCAATGGAAGGAATTGAACCTTCTACCAAACCAACATGATCGAAATTCTTAGTGAGACAAATAAAGCCATACAAACTTACAGTAGCAGATATCCTTCCACATTTACAGAAGATGACATAATCAATTGTTGAAGGCAATGGCAGGGTTAAAATGGGGACAAGTCAGAAGAGGGTCAGGAAAATAATTCTGGGTAGACTCCAAAATCCATTCCCCACTCATCCACTTCAACCAGCTGCCACAATCAACTTGACCTCAGCCTGGGGTAACTAGTAGCCACAAGGCCCACAACCAAATTTAGGCTACCTCCAGTCTTAATAATTTTATCCACTTCGGCCTTAAAATCATGGGAGAATGACTGATCAGTCCAGTTGAGAATTTTTAGCTTCACCATACAGGGGGAGAGTTCAGATCTGTGCCCCACAACGTTCCACAGCACATCCCCGCCGTGTATTGAGAACATTTCCCGATGATAGTACTAAAACCGATGATATCATTTTCAAGACATGTTCCTGTGGGACATTGTGGAATGGAGATGAATCCTGACTGTGAATTAATGCTAAATCCACGGATAGAATGTGATTTATAGAGGAGCTATTAATAGATTATGAATGACTATAATTCAGAATTCTGCATTAGGCTACAGTGTACTTAACCCTAAAATCATTCCGCTAAAAACCGTGGCCACAATCCTAACCACCACCCATTTCAAACCGCTGTCAGTCCCACTCCTAATGACAGCCAAATTTTTGGCCTCCTTAATTTTCTGTACCTTTCACTCCAAACGGCCATGATTTTATATGGAGCAGAAACTTTTCTCAGTTTTATCATTATTTTTTTTTTTATTGTTAGCCGTGTAATTTAATTGATCATAACCAAAAAATATTATTCACATAGTGACAATACCTTTGGTTTGGTCAGTCTGTATTAACAAAAGTAATCAATTTGTCTTTTAGCTCGGCTTAGCCCGTTTCTGATCCAAGCCACGAGACCATGGTCGTCTGCGGCCCATGCCTGCTTGACCTGTTATCAGTCCGCCTCAACTTGCACCCATCTCATGGTAGTCTACTTCAGCTCACATTTCTCAGCTCAAGAACCTTAGCTTGGCTTAGCCCTTGGCTAGCAACCGCAACTACACCTTAAGTAATTATTACAGTTTTAAAGACATTCAAATATAAGCTTCAATGCAAATTAACAGGCTCAAAGACCTATCTCAATTCCGCTACAACTTGATTAGATTTATGAATTTGGCCCATCCGTATTTCCCTCAAAATATATATATATATATATATCGAAATACAACTTCCACCGAAGTATGCTAGGCCCTACAGTGTCTGTATCAATGGAGTTTACATCCCCGCCCCATGATGTCTCACAGTACATCCCAGACGTGAATTGAAAACATTTCCCGATGATAGTATCAGAATCAATGATGTCATCACCAGAAGATGTTCTCACAGGTACTCTCCGCCTCACAATGCCTCTCAGCACATTCTACCATATATTGGGAACATCTTCCGATGGTGACATCATCGATTTTGATATTATCATTGGGAGATGTTCTCAATACACAACGGGGATGTGATGCGAGGCATTGTGGGGCAGAGATGTGAACATGTATGAATGAGCACTTAAGAAGTATTCTAACAATTGTATGTAAAGATAGTTTTCAATTTTTTTAGGATAGGCTGGGGGTATTAGGACTGGTGTCAGAAAATTTTCCTAAGTGGTTCAAATGTACTCACCAAGAGTATCCTAAACTGGGCCCAAAGCGCTGACGTGGTAAGTGGTAACTACCCAAATTGAATTGCCCAGATTTGTTTTTTGGGTAAATTATAAAATCCCCCTTGTACTATGGGGTTTATGACAAAGATCCCCTTGTACTATAATCATGAGACAAAGACCCCCTTCCCTTTACCTTTGTTTAGAAAGGCCATTACAATATTTTTTAATCCTCGTACTATCCTTGTCTATTTGGATAAGAAAAACACTGTTTATCTTCTCCAACCTCACAATGCACTAGCAGCAGTGGCAGACGGGCGGTAATTCCCTCTACCTCCTTCACATTTCTATCTCCCTCCCTCTCTCTCCTCCGATCTCTTCTTCCTCTTCCCCTTAACAGCGTCTGGATTGAACCCATTTAATTTAATCTTGCTCCATTTCACTTACGGATCGGAATACACCCCTCCACCAGATAGATTGGATTTCTGCGATGACCCATCTGACCAAAAGCTTAAATTTGTGACCTGTGCTCTAGTTCCTGATACTGCACCTCCCCGAATCTCATTTACCTTCCCTGTCCCTCGGCTTTCCTTTGTGAAAACCTTGTTTCTAACTCTCCTAATGCAAAACTCAGGAGCTGCGATGTTTATATAGGCTTCCATGTCTAGACTTCCAATCTGATACGCTTCTGGAAGTGTCTTAAATCAGAGCTTGAGCTCCAGGGAATAGCTTGTTTTGTTGCATACAGAGCTAAATATTCAAATACTCAGAGCCATGAGATTGCTGATAGAATTATTTGCTCAGCCACTTATGGTGTTGTGGTTGTCACGAGTTCAAGCTTTCTCAATCGTCTCAGCATATTCTTCACCCAGAACAAGAACCTGGTCCCCTTATTGTTTGATACAGACCTTACTGAGATTGCTGGCCTTCTCAATCGCAGTTCAGATGATAAGGAGTGGAAAGAAGTAATTGACAGCTTGGTAAAATCACATGAATTCAAGCTGGAGGCGAATGAGAATAATTGGAGAAGTTGTGTATCTAGAGCTGCTGGGATTTTAAGTGCAAAGCTCGGCAGGAAGATTATTGCTGAGAAGGAGATGGAATATTTTGAAGAGTTCCCGTTCCCAAGGAACAGATACTTTTTAGGAAGAGAGAAGGAGATGATGGAGATTGAGAGTGTTTTTTTGGATGTGGGGATTCTTTTGATCTTGACTGTTCCAAGCCAATTATGAAAGGAGAATCAGATGGGGTCTCAGAAGGCTTTGCAGATGAGTAAAGTGACATTCTCAGAAGCAGAGGAGGAGGATACATTAATTTGGAGTTGTGGAAGTGCAAGGAACCAAAGTTAGAAGCATGGATTGAACCGGTAGTACAGGGGGTCTTTGTCTCATCATAGTGTAAGGGTAGTATGGGGATTAAAAAATATTATAACAACTTTTTAGATAGAGACTAACGGAAGGGGGTCTTTGTGCAAAACAAAGTAAGGGAGGTCTTTGTCACAGACATCATAACACGGGGGGGTCTTTGTAATTTACCCTTGTTTCTTTATTTGCTCACTAATAAGCCTCGTACCCAAAATCGGTGGTTGTCGCGGGAATCCAATAAGTGCCTAGATCAAAATCTTAGGGCTCTCCGCTTCTCCAGAAAATCCGGAAGTTGCGTTTCCTACTTCCTATTTTTTTGGTAAGTATGGGAGTATCTTGTGAAGAACGTTTCTTTTTTTAGAAAGCTATACACATGTAAGTTAGAAGGTCGGTTATAACTAATAAAACCCTACGCATAACCAGCCACAGCCACGATCGAACTCCCTCTCTTTCGCTGGAGCTAGAACTCACAACTCTCCTCCTCTGCTTGCTTCGTGCTTTGCTCGCTCTATCCCATTTCTCTTTATATTCTCATTCAAGATTCAAGCCCCATCTTGTATCTGCTGCAAACTGTAGCAACTCACAACAATGATGTGGTGCTCGCACTGTGGAAGAAATATCAAAGCAGACCGAGATCATCAGAAAGGCTTCTTGTAAGTTGCTTCAATCTCTATCTTCTTCTTCTTCTTCTTCTTCTTATTTCCAATCCATTACTGAATCTCTTCGACTTCAG